TAAAAGCGAGAGGCAATAGACCACAGGAAACAACAAATAAATGTAAATAAATACCCACTGCCTGTTAAGTATAGGCATAATATTCCTCATGCTTTTTATTGGATGTCCCCTGAGGTTATTGGTATGTCAGAGAGAAATGGTCATGGAGTAGATACAGGTTAGTACTAGCCATGCTATGCTGGTCTTTCACCAAGCAGCTGGGCAGATATTTGTGCCTTGACAAAGCAGAACTTCTCCAAGCAAACATCATTTATTTCTTTTAAACGTTTTTACCATGCCTTTCCCCTGAAAGAGGACTTAAGGCAGCTTGCAGTGAATCAAACCATCTAGCTGACCACTGGGTATTCTGACAGGCAGCCGTAGGGTTGTCAACCTCCTGGTGGCACCTGGAGATCACCCGTTATTACAGTTGATCTCCTGATAAGAACATAAGAGAAGCCAATGTTGGATCAGGCCAATGGCCCATCCAGTCCAACACTCTGTCACACAGTGGCCAGAAATACCAGGTGCCATCAGGAGGTCCAGCAGTGGGGCCAGGTGGAGAAGATGTGGGGGCAGGAATCGGCAGGATGGGGGAAGCTTACCTGCTCCTGCTGCTGCTTCCTCCTCTGCCTGCTCTGCGTGGAGCTCCCCCCCCGCGAATTTCGTGGGTCCCCTTTCTTGTGCTTATCTAATTCCCTCTTGAAGCCGTCCATGCTTGTAGCCGCCACCACTTCCTGTGGCAGTGAATTCCAAGTGTTAATCACTCTTTGGGTGAAGAAGTACTTCCTTTTATCCATTCTAACCTGACTGCTCAGCAAGAGCAGTTTCCCTGGAGAAAATGGTTGCTTTGGAGGGTGGACCCTATAACATTATACCCTGATGAGGTTCCTCCCTTCCCTTTTCCAGGCTCCACCCCCAAAATCTCCAGGCATTTTCTCAACCCAGAGCTGGCAACCCTAGGCAGCAGCTCTGCAGGTTCCTAGGCAGAGAAAAGTTCCCCCAGTGCCTGCTGCCTGAAAACCCTTTAACTGGCAATGTTAGGGATTGAACTTGGGACCTTCTGCAAGTTAAGCATGTGCTCTACCACTGACCCACAGCCCCTCGTAAAGCCAAGCTTCTGGGAGTGTGGCAAACATCTGCTGCCTTCTGTTTTTCTCCCCAGCACTGGACAGCAGCTTTGTATCTCAGGCTTTTAGACTGTCTTCCAAACAACCCTGCAAGTCAGGTTGGGCCGAGAGAGTGACTGGGCCAAAGTCATCCAGCAAGCTTTCAGGTTGAATGGGGATTTGACCTGGGTCTCTCAGATCTTAGTCTGACAACCACTATACTGCATTGGTTGATACATTTGGCATGATGGCGGAATGTTTGCTATCATTAAAAATTCCTTGTGCCCAGTGCTCTTTTTGTAGCAGGAACTCCTTTGCATATTAGGCGACACACCCCTAATGTAGCCAATCCTCCAAGAGCTTACAGTAGCCCCTGTAAGAAAAGCTCTGTAAGCTCTTGGAGGATTGGCTATATTAGGGGTGTGTCACCTAATATGCAAAGGAGTTCCTGCTACGAAAAGAGCCCTGCTTGTGCCAATGGTTCAAGAGCAGAGACGTTTTTGTGTATGGTGGGTTGAGGTTATGCCTGTTGGCCTTACTCAGACTTATTCACTGAGGCTTACTTGTGTACATTCCAGGTGTGCATAAATGATTAGGGATGGGCATGAACCAGCTCACAAATGTAAGTCTGTGGTGAATTTTTGCCAGTTCATCGTTCGCAAACCAGAATTCACAAACTGAAGAGCCACCACAAACTTCCACAAATTTTAAGGCAGTTTGTGTTGGTTCATGAAGAGCAGAAAGCAGGGGTTTAATTGGTCTGAGCCATCTAAACCCTGCTTTTTGCTCCTCACAAAAAACAGCAGAGCGGCAAGAAGCAGAAAGCAGGGAGTTAAATGGCTTTGAGCCATTTAAACCCTTGCATTCTGCTCCTCGCCAGTTTTTATGGGGAGAACCCCTGCTTTATGCTACCCACAAAAAAAGCGGTGGGGAGCAGCAAGCAGGGGTCATGTACCACTACGAACTGGTTCAGTTCACGATCCAGCCTCCCAGTTCTTATTGGTTTGTGGTTCAACCCCAAACCACAACTGAAACAAACTCCAAAAATGCAGTTAGTGCCTATCCTCATAAATTATGCATTCACAAACTGTGGAATGTTGGGATGTATCCACAGAAGTGCCAGAGGTGGAGGACAGTAGCGGAGCCAGTAAGCACAATTCCAGTCTTCCCACCATAACACCCACTTTGGGTTGGGTCTGGAATGAACTGTCAGCTTCCAGCAGTCCCTCCTTCACACTGGAGACCCCCCCCCTCAGGGTCTCTGTCCCCCAGGAGCAGCATTTCATGAAGATCAGTGGGCTGCAGTAGGAGGGGGGAGGCACAAAAACTCTGATCTGCCATCAGTGCAAGGATGTTATCACCAATGCTCCCTCTAGGCTGTGGAGTCTCGTGAGCAAAAATTCTACTTTGTGAGGTACTGGCATTACAGATGTGACTGAGCGATTTGGCTGCTGCATAAATTAGTATGCTCTGGAGCCATCCTTCCTGAGCTAAGACAAAAATGTATGAGCCGGAGGCTAAAAAACGGTGAGCTAGCTCACACTACCTCGGCTTAGAGGGGACACTGGTTATCTCCCTTGTTTACTGATCAGCTGGATATCACAGCAGTGATCTGTCACTCTCTTTGTCTTCCTGGAATGTGTTTTCATATGCAAGATCAATGATTAACCATAAATAAATGTTATTCGATTTTAAAATAAAATAATGTGTTTCCTGTAGGAAATGCTGACAGGGATTTTCACAAACTGCTTTAAAAATGAAATAAGGTGTGAAGAGAAGAAAGCTCCAATATGGGAGCATCCATTGCTGGCCTGTGTATAAATAGCTGCAAGTGATAACATAAGCGGGTGTTTCCACTCTTCCGCTGGCAAATGGAGCTAATAAAAGTGACAATCCTAGGAGACTTCCATCTACAAATCAAACACGGCCCTGGCCCTTCTGCTTTCATAAACTCCCTGGCATTTAATCAGTAGCAGAGTGGTGTTTATTGGCTTACTTGTGTTGCAGATGCCGTCAAGATCGTCAGTGCAGAAGGAATTACAGCGGAGGGCCTTACAATAGCCTGTTGTAAAGGCTTGTTGCAAGACAGAGGCAACTCCTTCTTAGAACTACAAGAATATCAAATGCCTAAAGGGTTTTCAAGGGTTTGCTGTCTGGTCAGAGGTTATATATTACTATATAAAATAATGTCTTGATAGATGGTGGTGGAAGCACTGCGAATCTGTTCCAGATCTTTTTTGCAATGTAACGACACCAGGGCCTGGCTCCAAGGATGGACTCACCCCAGGTGAGCTTCACAAAGGTTCTCCGCTGCACATCGGCCTGGCCTGGCAGTCGGCACTGTACAACTTTTCTCAGAGAGCAGCTCCCAGGGGTAGGGAAGGAGAGAATAGTGAATATGGGGGGAGATGAAGGTAGTTTGGCTGCTGAGTGGGAGAGAGAAGGAGGTAGGAAAAGGAGAGAGGCTATGGGGGCTTACAGGGAAGGGAAAAATAGAAGAAAATGGGGGAGGGAAAAATGAGATGCCCCCTGAAAGTCCTTGTGGGTCCCCTGCTTGTCTTCTTTATTTATCTTTCATATGCTGTCTTGAATGTTAAAACTGCATACATTTTACCGGAAATATTCAGTGTAAGAAACCAAAAAACGGCGTGAGAATAAAGATGCATGGGTTTGATTCACAGAAGGGAAAAGTTAAAATGAAAGTGAGTTTGGGGGCTAAAACCGTGGGGCTACTAAATTCGGGAGTGTCCCTGTTTGCTCAGATATGTACCTCTCAGTCATTGTAAACTGGCTGGTAACACACATCATGATAGTAAAAAACTGTGGTTGATGTAGAACATTGTCCTATTGATATATTAATGTTCTATTGATACAGAATGTTAGGAAATCAAATATAGAGGTTTCAGGGAAACACTGTACTTTCATGTTCATAAATAAATAATTTTTTACAATTTTTCATGTATTACTGGTATGGACATCTTTTGAGATATGAGTAATCCCTTAGTAAATATTGCAACTTAAATACTATGAGATTTTCACATAATTCACCTCATTGTATTAAGTGATCTATTAGAGCTGCTCTTGGTCTCCTGGACGTGGGTGCGTACGTGCATGCTTTCCTCCCAAGTATTGTTAGTGCAAAACTTAATAAAGTGACTATAGAAATCAAAATGGGGAGTACCCTTCGTACTGACTTACATACCTGCTCAGGCCAGTTTGGATGATTCGCCAGCCCTGCTGACGACAGGGCATGAGAAGTGCTTTATCTCTCCACTCACCTGGGTGCATCAGCCCCCTGCCAATGCGAGCCAGTGATAATGCATTGTTGTATCACCCGAGTTGGACTCCGTACACGTAGTCAAGTCTTAACGTATGGAGCCCACCTGTACCTAACCACAATAGCAACATTTTTGTGCCTGATCCACCACACATTGAGCGCCCCCTGCCAATGCGAGCCAGTGATAATACATTGTGTTGTCTTACTGGAGGTGTGTTGTCTTACTGAACTATCACATTTGAATTCTGCCTTCCCTGCAAGGAGCTCAGGGTGGCATGCATGATTTCCCTTCTGTCATAGGTGAATGCTCTCAAAGTAAGTAAGACAGAGTTCTACCAACAGAATTCCACCTGGACACTTACCTGTCTCTGCCATCCCCTCTTGCCTAAAGTCACAAATCCTTTTGTTCTTTATTCCCTGTTTATTCCAGAACTCATTGCAGAGATCTTGGCTACCCTATCCAAGGATCCTGCAACCCACTAGTTGGGAATTTCTCAGCCTGATTATATTTCCATGTAGAGTCTTCTATTTATGTGGCCAAAAAGGCTACTAAATCAGCACAGATTCTTTTTGACAATTATTTATACATACTTTTTTTTCTTAATCTCCTAGACAGAATCATGAATAAACTGCAGGACATCCAGGACCAGATGATACCATGAAGAGAAGTTTACAGGTCCTGTATTGCCAACTGCTTAGTAAGTAAACCATTGATCCCTGCAACAAAGATGTAAAACAGTTCTGAAAGATTTAGTTTCACCACTGCCTCTCCATGCCTATTATGTAAATATTGGGTTTAGTTCTGAGATGGTGCCCTCTGAGAAAATAAACCACCCTCAGCTGGAGTTTTAAAGCCCAAACAAAAGCTTACAGAAGCCAAATATCAAGAATCAAAGATTTAAGACATGACTGTCTCCAAAGAATAAGATACAATTGGTATGGTAGGAGAATAAGCAAGCAGGAAATGCCATCTATACAGTGTTTTTTGGTGTTTTCTCCATGTTTCATCAGTGCTTAATACAAATATGAACAACACCACTTGGGCACTGGGTCACTCCCAAGTTCCTACAAAGCAGATGGTGGGCCAATCAGTTGCAGGATGAGCAGGCAGGAGAAAGATGCGGAACACTCTCTTGTATGTGATTTCCTCCTCTAAACTGCTTCTGCTAGCCACCTTTTTCTTCATGGGATCTGAGACCTGTAGTAATCACAAAGGAAGAAACATGGGCAGGGAAAAGCAGTTGGGGGAGCTGAATTGGAGAAATAATTCAATACGGGCCGCCAATGAGCTTGAGGGTGCAATTTGGGGTGCTGGTGCTTATCTTTAAAGCCCTTCATAACCTGGGACTAAAATACCTCTCCCTGCAGATATCCATGTGGTAGCCTTGTTATTCCCTGCAGGGTTTGCTGAGTGTTTTGGGAGCAGTCTGGGCAAAGTGGGAATACCCTGCTGTTGGCGGGGTGGGTGGGGAATAGGTGTTGTTAGACTGGTTTTATTGTTTTAATATGTGTTTTTTAATGTTTGCTTTATAAAATCATTTTTACATTGTTGTTTACCCACCTTGGGTCCTCAAGAGAAAGGTGAGCATGTAAATATTTTAAATAAATATTTTCCCTCCTGCCCACCCTGGACTAAATTGTGAACACTCCTCCCACAAGTTTTGAAGAAAATTGGCATGGCTCTCATTATGACACCTGGGGTTTTGCCACCATAATGTCTAGCTTTCCCCTTGGTTTGGATTGTTTAGACAGGGGGAAACATACATATTAAATAAATTTTAAAATGGCCACCATGATACTTTGCATTTCCTTAAAATGTGCAGTGGTTTTTTGGCATCCTTTTCTGAATCATAACTGTCCAGGCTTCTGTTTAGTACACGTGTCTGCCCTGCAGTCCCCAAATACTAAACTTGCACAAAAATAGTGGATTTTCATTAATTGGTACTTGCATTGATCTCAGTATTGTTGTTGTCATCATAAGGAGTTTTTTTTAAAAAGTTTGTGTTGTGATCGAGCAAATTTTAGTAGTTTATTATTTACTGAGACAATAAGTAGCATAACTCTGAAAATGACATATTTGCTGATCTTTGATCATAATAAATTGAATTGAATTGAAAATGACACCAGAAAACTGTGTTATTTTTATGGACTAAGGACAGGATATATTTTATTTTATTTTACTATGTGTGTGTGTGCATGTATTCTAAATAATGCAGGCTTTATGCCGTTTAACTGCTTAATCTGTAACCAAAAAACAAGGACAGAGAGGGAAGAGAAAGCTTTTGGGGGGAGCTATTGGGGAGAGACAAAGTTGAACAGAAGGCAAGCTTTTTGAGGGGCATTTTTAAAAATTGCTCAGTGGTGGCAAGGTGGTACCATTTGCATTTGTGATAAGCACACCTGAAATACATAGGAAACATCAAATATATGGATGGATGGAGCTTCCAGGGTTTGTGATTTGTTTTTGTTTATTTGCTCCACTGCCAAACTAATTTGGCTTCCAACATTATATTTTAAATAGCTCAAGTGTAGCAACATGGCATCACTCAAATAATTATTTCTCATGATATTATGACACGATTTATGGAGAAACAGTGGGTGAACCATACTTCATGGTTAAAAAAATAACAATGAAGTTCTGCAGCCAGACTAAACAGAGACTCAGTGGTGAACATAATGTGGTAGAGGGGGTGAAACACTTTGTTCTGGTCTGCCAGTTCAGCTTGATCGCAGTTGAGAAGGAAAGGAGATGAATACTGAGTAAATGTTTGTTGGATGTTACAAGTTAAAACACTTCTATTTCAGTATTTACTGGGTTAATACTGTTTACAAAATCACATGTTTGTTTGTATCTAATCTGTTTAGAGAGCTGGAAAGCCCGGCAACTTCAGATCTAGTTTGTTGTTCTGATTGGAGACGAGAGTGGCTAGTATTAGCATTTTATGGCTCTTTGTCCTGAGCAAGAAGAAGTTCAGTCTCCATTAGACTCTCTGCCATGTTCTGTCTAGCTGTAAGGATGTAGAAATATAGCTCTTTGTTATTTTTCATCCCGTATACCTTTTTCCCATGCTAGGTTGTAGTAAACTTTTATATTTTAAACACACCATGGACTCTGACTCTTTAATACACTGCTGAATGCTTAATACTCTGCTGATTAACTTTAGAAATTAAGAACTAAAACCCAACAATGTTTAATTAAATGTATGCATTGACGAGTTCTGTTTAAAAATCTGATGCCTAGTCTTCATTTTGAAAGGCAGCATTATGATTTATGAGTCCACATTTAAAAATACCGGAGTGTAATGTTTTCTTTAGATCATCAGGGAGGCTTAACTTTTTGATTTCATTCCTGAACCACCTTTCCAATCTCCGAAAGATGGAGGAAGCAGGAAATATCATAGCTCTTATCATCTGAATAGCTCATCAGCCCATGAAGGTCTGTGTTTCTCCACTCCCTCCCTGTGGCAACCAATGATGTGGAGCGGAAGCAATGTAATGTAGAATTTTGTGATGCTCAGGCATTATAGGGAAGGGAAGGGGAGGTAGATATATGGTTGATGTCTGGCAGTGTTTTTAACTTGGCCGTCATGAAGGGCTGGCAGATTTGCTATTCAGTGCTATTCATCTGGTTCCTAGGTGGAACCAAGAGAGGTCATTGTCGATTCAGGTGTTAACATTTGTGGGTCAGATCAAGTGATCCATCAGTGGGTCAGATCAGTGGATCCATGTTCCCTTCATATGAACAGCTGCACTGACAGAGAAAGACAGGGCAATTTTGTCTCCTTCCCCATCTCAGTGCATCCTATTGACCAGCATGGCTGTTGGGCCACCATGCACAACTCTAGGAATCAGCTTTACTGGGGTCATAAGGGAAGGTGGGGGGGGAGAGAATATGTGAAGGATCTGGAGCTCTTCTGCCCATGGATCACAGGATCCCATGTTGTGACTGCAGCTGAAGTTTCAGTCCTGCCTGTTTGGTAACGTCCACAAATAATGGATTCACTATCCAAGTACCACAATAAAATTAGATGAGGATGCAAATAAGCTGAAATCTTTTTGTTTATTGATATTGTGCTTGTTCGTCCGTGTTTTATGTACCACAACGGGCACATCAGAGGTGATGAAGATTGTGGATCTGTATGTTCATGTGCAGCACTGATTTGGATCAAGGTTTCATGGAGAAGAAGATTTCACGCTCAAAACCGCAAACCCTCCTTGTTGCACTAATCAAAACAGAGGTTTTTGTACTGCTATTAGCATTTTAAAGAGAATATGGGGTTTTTTAAAGGACACATCGTTTTTCTTTTAAAATGCTAATAATGGGATCCTGGGGTTTATCAGTGAAACCATGGGAGGTTGACGGATTAAATACCCTCTCCCCTCCCTACAGATCCCCAATCCAATCCAAATCAATTCAATTTGTTCTTTACAGACAGCAGTGCATGTTCTTTGTCATCTCTGTTTATGTCCAAAGAAGACTTACGAGCCTAAGCTCTGCTGCACCCACGAGTGATTGCTTAGGATAGAGCTTGCCAACCACTTTGCCAGTCGTAAGGCTGACAGGATTTCATATTGAATGTGCTGTCACATCAAAAGCGCCCTGAATCCAGTAACATCAGGGGGAAGGAGGGGCCTTAAATGGGAAATATGGGCCATGTACCTTTGATACGCTAGCTACTGTCTTCAGAGAGAGTTTTATTTGTAGGTCAATTTTTTAAAAGGACGTCTCATCAGAAGTGGTATAGTCCAGATTTCTGTCACCGTGATCTGCATAAACAAATAAATTGGTTACAACACAGAGACGGGACTGTGACTCAGCGGTTACAGCATCTGCTTTGCATGCAGAAGGTTCCAGTCTCAATCCCTGGCTTCTCCAGTTAAAAGAAGCAGGTAGCAGCAGGTGATGTGAAATATCTCTGCCTGGGACCCTGGAAAGCTACTGCCCCTCAGGATTGACCTTGAGACCCCAGGTGTCTGACTCAATATAAGAGAGCTTTAGGTATCACCTATTTATTTGTCCCTAGGTAAGTGCACTGGCCCAAATATTTATGCTTGCTCTTCATTTCCATTTTATTTAGATGGGTTCTTCTTGTTTGGGAGCCTTTGGAAAACAAGCTTCAAAAATTCCAGAGCCAATTAGAAGTGAAATATGAAAGGAATTTTAATCCTTTGCATTAATGTTCCTCATTACATGGTTTGCTTTTGGCTTTTATGTTACATGCTTTAGAGAAAAGAAAGAAGGTGATCTTTTTGGGAAGGGGGAGGGCTAGAAATGAGAAAAAGTGTACTGATGCCACAGAGCTAAGCATTGAGAGTGTTGGTGGCACAACATATTACGGAAGGTATGGCTCTTTAAAGTGTTCCTTTCAAAATAAGTTGAATAAACAATTCTTTGAATTAAAGTGTTCCTTTCAAAATAGGTTGAATGAACAATTCTTTGCACTGTGTAAGCAGTACAGTGGTGATGATTCCATGCATCCTGTGTTACTCATTCCTATCATTCTGCCACAAGAGCTAGCAGTGACAAGTTTTAGTATACTGTATTTATGTGGAATTATTGTTAAAGCATTCTTTTCACTTATTCCTCATATCAGAAGCACAGCCTAAAGAATCTTCCACCATCACCAGACAAGTTGGGGGACAAAATATGCCTCTTCCCTGATTTAGCTCTACAGTAATGGCTCGAGTGGTTAAGACG